AGTACCCGGAGGTAACCCACGCAAACACATGCAAGAACATGCAAACTGCACACAGAAAGATCCCAGCCTGATGATGGAATTGACCTTCCTGCTGTGTGGCATCAGCTGACCAAGCTTGCAACTGTGCTGCACCATGGATGGGTGGTTGGCACAAAGTAAAAGAAAAATAGAGAACTTCATGGATGTAGTTTTCTATTATTTAGTATTAACTTACTCTTAGCATTGGCGGTATGCTTAGTTACATTTGCTTCCATGTTGTCTGGTCCAGGTGTCTCGTCTCCCCTTCCTGTCCCATGTCTGTCCTTTCTGTCATGTCTCGTTCCCTCTTTCTCAAGTGCCCCTTGTTTAAGTCTCCCTCTCTCTCTAGTGCTCCCTCACTCTTGTTTTCCCTCGGTCCCTCTGTCTGTCTCATGTTTGCTTTCTCTTGAACCTTGTGTCAAGCTTGTGCTTCCCAGTTTACATCTCTCCACGTTTCCTGCTTTATTTTGACAGTCTTGTGTTCCATGTTCAGTATTAGTTTTGCTTGCCCTTTGGTGTCATGTTGATTTGTGTCAGCTGTGTTCCCCATATGTTTCCACTTCCCACATTACCCTTCTGTGTATTTAACTCCTCTGTCTCCCTTTGTTCACTGTCAGGTCGTCTGTTTTCCTCGCCTTATGATCCATGGATTTAATGTTGTCTTTAGTCTCAGTTTTTGCATGCTCTTTTTCATGTTAATGTTTTTCTTGTCTAGTCTTAGTATTTCCCAGTTTAGGTTATAGTTTAGTTTTTGCCTTTGCCTTTTGCTTTTGTGTTTTCATCAGCCAAAATAAACAACTCGCTTTTTGTTGTACTCCAGTCTTGTTTCTTGTTATTCTGCTTCTTTGTCTGCTCCACAAATATACTGGCCATTCGGCTGTTTACACTTTCACAACAACTGACAAAAGAGAGCATTATGATAAACAAAAGTTCTTCACATTAATCAACTGAAGTCCACTACGGTTAATTATCATATGATGATATCATGAAGTTCAATAATGAAATCATCTGTCTGGATTTTTGGGCTTTTGGATTGCAATTCTTTTCTTTTTCTCACTTCTGCTTTCCTCTTTTTAAATCGAATTCTTTCATCATCACGCTGATTCTCTGATTTGATTTTCATAACAAAAAAATCTCTGCTCTGTGTGCTTTAAATCTCAGTGTTTTTCTGTCATTCTACCTTTCAAAATCTCCCTCAGCCATGTCCATTTTATCATTGTTGCTCATCCAAGTCTCCAGCTGTGTTATTATTACCACCAGCATGTGCTATCTCCTATTTCCACCCTTCTATGTTGCTTCATTGGAATCTACTTGCCAAATACTTTGTTGTACTTCACTGTCTGCTATGGAGTAAATACTTAAGTATTTTTTTGGATTGTTTGTTTCTAGCATGTACCCCAGTAGTCACGAGGTTATCACAAAGCTAACACAAAGAGGCAGACAAACACACACCTACAGCCAAGTTAGGATGAACAAATACATTGAAACCCATTTGTTTGTACTGTGAGAGGACTCTGAGGCTGCATACTCTTCACATAAAGGCCCAGACTGACCAGAGAGCAGCATTACTCCATTATAGTGCAATTACACTTTAAGAATTAACAGCAGCATAGTTCCTAGGCATGGCACAAAATTATCTGTGTGTTCACTCCTACTTAGTCTCTGTTATATAGGCCACTCTGTATAAACTGCTTTTGCTCCAAACTTGTGGTTAGATCATTAACTTTTATTGATAATATTCTCCTGAGACCTAGCCTATTCAGTTAGCTCCTCTGCAGCTGACACACAAATCACAAAAAAAATTATGACTGAAAGATCCATTTTTCCTCAGTTTTCAGGTGGATATGACAATTGAAAGTAAATAATTTTATTAAAACATATAACTGTAAATTGGCATGGATAAGTTTATCCTTTCCAAGTGCATCACTCATGTCACAGCAAGCTGACGCTATAAATGATACTTTAGTGTTTTAGCATGTTATGCAATATTCCATGTCTTCTGTTCAAACCTTAAAGAGTTCAGACAAAGCAGGATTTGTATGTTAATTGCAAAATCTGATAGACTTCAAATGTTACTGAATTATTTGACATATTTTATCAACATTTTTATGTGTATTTGGTGCATTTTGTTACATATTTATTTTTGCTTCTTACTACAGCCTATTTCTTGTGCAGGCACAAATTAAGAGTTTTAGAAATGTTCTTGTTATTACGTTTTATTTCTTAAACTGCCAGTCAATTCTGAGGTAAATATTGAATTGAAATCTTTTTTGTCATAGTCAAGCTACTGTACTGGAAAAAAGAGAGAGAAACTTAAGCAATGATTGAGCAATGAATGATTTTTCAAATCCACCCTGTATGTAATACGTACTCACACAATAGCTGAAAACGCACCTTTAAATGTACGTATGTGAACCCTCAAGTGTTCGCTGACTTCTTGGATCCATTCTTCCATCCCCTTGCGTCCCATCCCAAAGTCTCTCAGGGTTGTAAGTGTGAAGCGTCGCAGCTGGCGCCAGCGCTCCCCATTACTGATTGCTAAACCTGAGAAGATGAAATGTCAGGATTAGGAAAAACTTTTACACAAACTGTTATTTGAAATTTCTTTATTTTCATATGAAGTTGACTTAGAATCATGCCAAAGAAATCACTGGTCTTGAAAA